CACGTCTCGACATGGTGCATCTTAATCGGACGGAATTATCGGCTTGTTGTCGTGTGTCACCACGGCAGCATGATAAAGACAGAACGTCTTACGTAAGTAAAAGCTTGTTCTCGCGTCGTTCTTTTCGATTGGATTGGATTTGTATTTGATTATAGATGAATTCTCGAAGACGACAAGGATTCATGGATCTTAATTTAGTTACTGAGGTATTACATCTTAAAATATTGAAGAAAATTTTGTCTCTTTTGCGTGATTCGGTTCAATTGATCCGAGAGAACATAAAATGCAAAATAGAATTCAATATCTCAATTTGTTATAATATAACATACTATTAAGTTATACTATATTGGTATTATAATTAAATATATGTAACTGATATATATTAATATCAATTTAAATTACCACTGTGACTTTATCGTCAGCTTGAAGTCTCATTATAAGCTATTATTTGCTGCCCTACAAAATAGGCGACTTTTTAATTACCCTTCCCTAAAAATACGCTAAAATGGTATCTAACGATAATAATTCTTTTTTAGCTTTATCCAACGCAAGACAGACATACAAGAGGGTCGAAAGCGTTCGATGAAATACAGTTAATTAATTATTGGGTTGTCTACGTCACGCTGGACAGAACAATGGGCGCGTTGAGCAGCACCAGTGTTACTATTTCGCGAATGCCAAATTAAGACCGGTCACCTTGTATGGAGTCGTCGTGTATCGAGAACGAGCCTCCCGGCTTCGTTTAATTAATGCGTACAGATAGTTGTTTAAAATCGCCTGGCTCCGCCCACGCCTCGTGGCGCGGACTCGGACGCCATTCAAGACGAATATAATTGCAGAGAGCGCGCCGTGTGCTGACACCCCGTATAAAAAGCAAATGTTTCTACGATGGAGAATGTCTTCGGGATATGCTGGCAGCGAGTATGAGATTCGTTTAATTCGTTTCAGTCTCGCATTTTGATTTTTCATCAGACTAGATGAGATGATTCCTTTCATACCCGACATGAGGGGGTACGTATGTGCAATCGTTTGCAAGTATTTGAAGATTTTTAGTTTGCAGTAACAGTATTTAAGTTTGAATGAAATATGAGAGTTAATGACAATAGATAAAATCGGTACTATGGAAAAAATAAATATATAAGTCTAAATTTCTTCTTGAAAGATATGATAATAATATCTCAATTATATATTATTCTACACATTTACTATTCAAATATTATTAGTGCTCTATTAACTTAAGATTTTAAAATTATAGGTATTTAATTTTACTTTACATTTGTATTTTACAGTCTCCTCTTATAGAAACTATAAAACTGAAAACTGAATTAAAACCAAATATAAAACCAGTATAATATCTAAATCAACAATGTTAAATATTATTTATTAATCAATTGAATTTTAAGAGAAAGGAAAAAATCTATGAGTTATTATATATAGAGAAGGTTTAACCATTAACAGATTATTACTGGGGTTATTATTACTTCTATATATTATACATACATTATACATATTGGGGTTATTATTACTTATATATATTATATATATTATTACTTATATATATTATACAAAATAAAATTTAGCATTCGTTCGATCTCGTATTATTAGAGACTCGTATTCTACTAATTTCAAACAACGTCAAGCTCCTGCACACTCGCGCAGCAGTCTCGTTTCCCTGTTCGACAGTGCGCGTGCGCAAGAGCATGCGCGTTATCCGCCGGAGATATCCTGGCGGCGCAGGACAGGGGAGTGAGTGTGCGAGACAAATTGAAGTTTTTCGCGAACGAACCTGTCCGTGGACTGCGCGAACCTGTCTTCCTTCGACCGAACCGGCCGCGGCAGCCCTGGCTCTATCCGATCTTGCTTGTTCGCTTCACGCTTCACGCTCGATGCAATTCCGCGCTCGCTATCTCCGCCGTGTCTCGCCAGCCGGCGACGCACCTTAAATCGCCGATTTACTGGACGCGCGAACTCCTTATCTTTCTGCCATATAAGGGACACTTGCCAGTGTCCGTGGAAACACAAAGGAAGCAACAACGCCTCCCAACTTCTGGCTACTCTCTGTTCCTTGTAACGCCAGAATTTCGGAGAATGTATCGCATATGTATATATGTATGCGTGTATATGTCTGTGGGGATGTTGAGTGGGGATAAGAGTAAAGACAGGTAATTTGTCTGTTTCGCGCGAAAAGACGATAGGTGGGGATACGTGTTGATATAATGGAGAAGACTATGGATTAAGAATGGTTTGTATAGAGTTCGTTGAACTTTCTAGTAATTTATTAACGTATCGAACAGTTGGAACATTAAAATCAATATTATTTATTTATTTATTCAATTTGTTGAACCTTTCTGTATCGACGTAACGGGTTTTATTAATTTCTTAATTCCGTTATACCGAATAAAGGATCAATATTTGAGTCTCAAGAAACAGACGTTCGTGTCAAGAAAGTAACAAGATAAATTAAAAGCTCATGATATCATCGTTCCTCTGTAGTTTTCAATTTATGGCGACTCATTATATCTAGCTCATAAAGTATTTGAATCCTTGCTGTAGAAGAATAAATGTTATATATATAATCATATATATCATATATATAACATTTATGTTGTTAAAGTTTGAAACAGATCTAAAATTGTATTATACAAATCAAATTGAAAGAAATCTACAAATAAATTATGCAAAAGAACTTGTAGAAGTAAAAAGAAGTATTTATTAATAATTACTGTTATTATATTATTATATCATATATAATATTTATTATAGTTCAACTTTGTTAAAAAAGTACTTCCTTTTTATTTTAACTTTTTCTGCACAATATATTTTAACATTAAGGCACACAAATAAGAGCACACTAATTAGTTGCTCTAATACATTAGTTGTCCAAATATACAATATAATATCATATCATATTAAAATATAGTGAGGCACAATTATCATGATTATATTGCTGAAATTAGAAATAAATGTAAAAATAGATATAGAAATTATCTATATTTAATACAGTACTGTTCATAAGTTCCAATTTGGACAACTAATGTATTAGAGCAACTAATTAGTGTGCTCTTATTTGTGTGCCCTAATGTTAAAATATATTGTGCAGAAAAAGTTAAAATAAAAAGGAAGTACTTTTTATAACAAAGTTGAATTATAATAAATATTATATATGATATAGTAATATATATATATATAAAATATCATATTAAAATATACTAAGGCACAATTATCATGATTATATTGCTGAAATTAGAAATAAATGTAAAAATAGATATAGAAATTATCTATATTTAATACAGTACTGTTCATAAGTGCCAATTTGGACAACTAATGTATTAGAGCAATTAATTAGTGTGCTCTTATTTGTGTGCCTTAATGTTAAAAGATTTATGATATAGTAATATAATAATATAATAACAGTAATTATTAATAAATACTTCGTTTTACTTCTTTATAATTTATTTGTAGATTTCTTTCAATTTGATTTGCATAATACAGTTCTAAATCTGTTTCAAACTTCAATAACATAAATGTTATATATATGATATATATGATTATATATGTAAAATTTGTTCTTCTACAACAAGGGTTTAAATACGTTATGAGCTAGATATAATGGGTCGCCATAAATTGAAAAAAAAAAAATATATATATATATATATAAGTTCTACTTTTGTGTATAAATTCCATAAATTCTATAAATACTTTCGTAAATCACTATAGGGACGAAATTTAATAGGCGAAATTCAAATTTTTGAAAAACATTTCACCATGTACCAACTTGACAACAAGTGTTCATCGAAACAAACAGGAAGTACGAGAAGAAAACGAGGTTTTCAAGAGAACGGCGGCCAATTGTTAAATTTCTACCGGCAGCATCTAACGCGGAACGTTGCTTCCCAGGCCCCTGGTGCTGGCCAAAATTCCTCTTTTTTTCATCGGGTTGCGCGACGAGACCGTATTAGGAAACCTGCAGTCATTGTGCGCGCCACGCTGAACAACGACGCCGACGACGACGACACGAAGAAGAATGGCGACGACGACGACGACGTCTTTTCGCTTCGAACAATTCCACATCAAATCTTCTTGACTCGTGGTCGTTCGTAAACTGAATATAGTGCGAGTTGTACGAGAAACGAAGAAGGATAATTAATTAATTAAGGATAATGTTCTTGCACAGGAAAAGCATCAGATATTAAATATTTTGTAAGAAGAAATTGAATTCGTTTTAGATGAAGAATATTCTGATGAAAAGGAAATTCATTTATGAAAAATTTGAAAATACAAAAATGCACAGATTGGACGTAATAAAAATATATACAAATATTTTATATACAAAACATCTATTTAAATTTATTGAATTTATTTCGTTTGAGAAAGATGTATATATTATATGAGAAATTCAAAGATATACAAATACACGTAATATAATGAGCAATATCTAAAACGCAGCAAATATAATGAGCAATATCTAAAACGCAGCAAATAATTGTTATAATATTTAACAGGCGAAATAATTTTTTATCCAAGTTTCATTACTTTAATTATCTTCATTTAAAACAAAATTTTCATGAAGATTAATAATATAAGCAATTACTAATGTTGATTTATCTTTTACAATCTTGAATCAAATTTTCACAGTTTTAGATATTTTATCATCAGTTTCAAAGAAGAGAACCTTTATCATTCTTCAGATGATATTATATTAGTTTCTAACAAGATCAGCCAGAGAGTTGGATCAGAAAATCAAGTCAAGCCCAATCAGAAGATAACTGAACTTTCATTTGTTAATTTTACTATAGAGATACATGATTAATATTCAATTCTTAAGAAAAGAAATACTTTACATTCATAAATTCTTTTATTGAAAGAAGAAGATAGTAGCAAATATAATAATAAATTTTGAGTTAGAATAAATGTAATGTAACATTACCACATGTGTAGCTTCTGAATGGTATGGAGGATTCAGAATCTAATCAGAGTATAGTAATAATTTTCCACTAAAACTATGTTACATTTTTGTATTTCAGCTTACAAATGTGTTATTACATTTTAACTACAAATTACAAGTATCCTAATTACATTTCAACTCAAAACTCAGCCAATGAGAACAATTCAATTACAATATGGTAATAATCAATATTGCAATAACCGAACCAATACTTTTAACAATAAAAAGATATTCGTATGGCGCGACCATGCTTTACTTTCAATGAGCCAAACTTCTGAATTCTCCACGTGTATCATCAGGTGAGGAAGAATCAGTTAGACAGTAACTTATAACATTCGCTGCAATTTTCAAAATTGTGCAACAATGAAATGTTAAAAGCATACCGAGATCCTTCTCACGTCCATAGCTATACATATATATATACATACACGTATGTATACACGTATGAAGGTACACATCGCTCCACAACCACATCGAACGATGATAAAAAGTGTTCAAGGTGAGCCGAGCAGACGTATGAATGGGCGTATGCATGAATGGCTAGGCTGTATCGAGTTGAGACCCGGCCAGTGCGTGCACACGCATCTTTATTCTGCGTGTACGCGCATGCGTGCAAGCGCTTACCTGGTCAACCGAGTTGCATCGTTCCCGATGATCCACGATGCATCAATGAGTGCACGAGTTCAGAAGAGATTCAACCTTCTATAATCAGAATTATAGATTAATTATAGATCTATTTGTGCCTGTGTATAATTTGGACATTGTACCTATGCGACACGGTCCAACATTGTTTTATTTTTAACAGGCCGCGAATTTTGACCCCTCAAATGTTGGGGAGAGCTCGTTGGGTAATTTATAATGTATATGTATAGAATACATTGAAAACATACATCGGAGACACTATAAAGAAATAAGATATTCTCGCTAAGCGAGTAAAGTTCAGGAATTATTCTTGCATTTTGAAAATAAGTCCACAGGCTGGCCAAAAGTTCAGCAACGAGACTAACGCTAAATAATTCTATTGGAATAAAATACAAAATAAAATGAAGATCAACCAATTAATTCAAAGTCAATAAATTTGAAAATACAAAAATGATAACAGAGAATACAAAAGTACAGCCAATAAATATTAAATATCACCACGTATTATTTTGTTTGTAATTTATACAAGAGTTTTTCACAAGAGTAATTTATACAAGACTGAATATAATTCAGATATAGAGTTAGAAAAATTTTGGCAACAGTGAAACAGATAGTTTTACTTAAAGAACAGCGCTAAATAAAATAAATAAAAATTAGCCGATTAATTCGAGACAACAAACGACAACGAAAGAGTCGTTACATGCTAAATATTATCTCGTATTATATCTCGTTCAAAACAAAACAAAAAAAAAAAAAAAAAAAAAAAAAAATTTAAATCAATTTTTAAAAAAAAAAAAAAAAAAAAAAAGAAAGAAATTTAGATCGATTTTTAAAGAAGATGAACAGGGAGAGATCAGTAACAATTACAGTTTATTATTACAGACTATAAGAACTCGATGTCTTTACAATCGGCAATACGTACAAAATGATACTCGTCGCTGCACAGGATAATAACGATACACGGATTATAGGACGGTTCCTGTTGCACTTTCCATCGTTCCATCGCTTATCATCGCCATTTTGAGCGTTCGATCTCTCTCCACGAACAACGGAGACCCGCCGGCGCGTTTGTTATCGGGCTCGTTCAATCACCAGGAATTCTAGAAATGAGCAAACGGAACGTTCTCAAAAGTGAAAAAAATCGACGAAAACAGGCTCTCGTTGAAGCAAACGCAAGTTGTTCAGGTACGATCGTTTCACTCGCATTTTAACCCTGTGAGCGTTTTTCCCAGGAATCGAAAGTTTCAATGTCGAACGAGGCTTACATTTAAAAATACGAACTAAGAATGCATTCATCTTTAAATATATATCTTTTGTAATATATTTATGTATTAAAACATAACTATATTGTAATGTATTTGTTCAGTATGTCATCTTCGTTGAAGCTATAAATCAATCATGTTTTGTTATTAATTGTGACAGCACCTGTAACGATACTCTACTACAAATTAAAACACTCAAAGGGTTAAACATTTTTTTATATATCATTCGTCGAACGTGGCAGCATCATAATGATCTTCGTCGATCTTGAATTTAATTGATGTTTCTACGTTTTCTCTCGTTTCGAGTACACTCCGATGGATGGACACCATGCGTCGGCATAAATTACGGTAGAACTTCATTTAGAACTACGGTGGAACTTTTCTTTCCAAGCAGCTCTTTGTTTCTTAACAATATTCTCTATGTTGTTTAAGCTTTTCCTTAAAATAAAATTTTTATGATTTTTCTTCCCCCCATCAAACTTCACCAAACTGCATACGTACAATTCGACACTTTTCGCCCAGGATTATTATTTTTTTCCCCGTCAATCGTAAAAAGTAATTTTTGTTGTAGAAAATTTTACAACTCGTAGAGAAAAATTTTGAAGTATAAAATATTTAAAGCCCACTACTTTCCCTGTGTTTCATGCGCGAAGCGATTTTTTTTCTACTACCGAGATTTTACTCTCTTAATTAAGCATGAATTCGCATAAAAATCGCACGGCAAGATAACAATTATTTCTCCAAACATAAAATATTTCTGTTTGCAAATAACAATTACAAGTGTTTCATTGCCGACAAAGATCAATTACTAACGAGGAAAATTTATTTCTGTGTTATTCCCGAAAAATTCACAGTAGAAACTAACTCCACGATTTTTAAAATATTTTGATCGAACAATACACTGTGGATTTTTATGTATTTATAAAAAATTTGAACGTGCAGAATTTTCATGACAAGGTACAGGACATGAAAAGTGTAGTGATAACATCTGGATATCGTGTAACATTTCCATCAACATTCTATTTTCTTAATTGTACCTTCAAAATTTTTATTATAAATTTGCATGATATTCCGCTGTCTGATTATTCAGAATTCCCCTCATCGATGACGATTGTCGGCCACGAAAACAATTTTCCTAATGAACTAATAACAATTATCGTAAATAATTTACTTGATATTTCTACAACGGGTGCGCAATAAAATCAATTAATAATTAAATTTTAAGTAATAAAATATACTTCCAAAATCTCGACGTGTAGCACGTATGCATATTATAAATTTCGTTCCAATAAATGCAGTTCTACCGCATATACATACTATATACATACATAAATAAACTGATATCTATATAATAATAATAATAATAATAATAAAGAAAAAAACACGGCTTTTGATTTAACAAAGAGTATAAATAAGACTAGATTTCGTTAGGCGTTATTAAATAAAATTTGCGGGTAGTTTTACCATTAAAAAATAATCATGATAAACGTACAATCGTATAATTACTTCCCTCTTAATATTATTCTTTCTCTTATCCTCCGTCCGAGATAAAATTCTCTCTCGCTCCTCGTTCCAATCCTCCTTCAATGCTGGAAGTGCGCGCAAACTTCGAAAAATGCATTGGAAACATCGAAAAGACCGACGAGAGTCTCACCTAGAAGGCTGAATAATTCCGCGATTCCAAGGGAAAACGTCACACGTCACTCGTTCAAAATTCTCAACACTAATTCCTCTTAATAACAGTATTTTATTTTATTTTTTTTTTTTTTTTACACTATAGATGCATATTTCCCTCGTTTTGCGTAATATTCTCTGTCTCTCAGGCATTATTTGAATAAAACGATTATTTAAATAACAAATCATCTTGAAACAATTTTAAACGTTGTTTATTTAAACAAGCAAGTGACTTTTCTTCGAATTAAATAAAATAATCTTTCGTCTTGCATTTATTTCCACAAACAGTTTCCTCGAGTAATTTCTCATTTCATTGCATGCAATTCAATTTCTTTCAGCGAAGCTATCTCATTTCAGTGAATTGGGTCAAACAAACGATCATTTGGAAATGATAATAAAATGGAAATGATGAATTAGTTGTTATTTTCATTCGAAAATGAATTTTGACAAAGCAAAAATATAGAATATAATTTTTTAATAATCGTTTCCTTGCGGTGTAGTTGTAAAAACCTGAGTATATGTGTCATGCTGGAAAATAAAAAGAGATCAAAAAAGAGAGAATAATCATTTTCTCCAAATTTTGTTTTCACTTGCCTTGTCTCGTCTAATGAAATATAAATTAATTCGCATTATAAGCCAATGAAACTTTTTCGCGAGAAATATGAACATTCTACGTTCGACTGACGCATTGATTCAAATTCTTTTGTTTCTGAGGTTGCGACGTACAAAGTTTTTCCTTACTTGCCTCTTCGCGCGAACATCGCCGTTCGCATCCGCTTCTAATCTGCGAGCACGAAACCACGCTCTTTGGTTAACTACGACAAACACGTCCTCTCAACGTTATGTACATTCCAGTCTCCCATCTTTGGCACGGAGCTACGATCGGATTTACATTATTATTAAAAACACACGACCACAACGCACGCCATTTATCCTTGCTCTCTCTCTCTCTCTCTCACTCTTCCTTTCTAACTCGTCTCTTTCTCTCATCTTGCTTTCTAATTTGTTGCTCTCGTTGCTTTCGCGAGAATTGAATCCCGTTCTTGGCATTCCCATGAATAACAGATTGCACGCATTGTTGCACGACGCAGACGGCACTGGGTAAAATAGCACTTGAAATAAGAAATAAAATATTTCGAGAGATCGTCGATTTGAAATAATTGTGTGTTCATTTTTTTCACGTTGAAATATATTTCGCAGGTATACTTCAGTTGTGTATTTTTATCAAGATGAACTGTTTGAAATAAATATTTTATAGAATTCTTACGACACGATAAATTTGATAAAACTTTATAATTTTAATGAAATAGACCAATTTATTTTACTTGAACTGAAAATGATACAACTGGGCAGATAAGATAAGACAGTAGCAAAAACAATTCAAATACTATAATAATTTAGTAAAACTTTAATTATTATTTCTTGCTTGAAACGTACCCAGGACTGAAAAAAAACCCCCCTATTTCACATACCTAACCTTCAAGTTTCTCCCTTCAATCATCTCCCTCCCCCCAAAGAAACCTGTATCCTTCACAATAATCCTAACCCTTTATCGACCTAATCCATCTCCTAGACCAACTGATACTCCATGGTATCGATCGCCAAGTGCCATGCACGTCCTCTGATCCACCGACAGCCAAAGAACACGGGTGCCTAGCCGCGTTAAAAGTAGCATCGACTCGTAACAGAACCAAGTGAAATCGCCTCTGGCGGCGATAGGTTTCACGTTAGAGGGAGAGCTCGATGCTCGTCGACGAATCCACTCGCCACGTCCACCATATTGGGATGGGGCACTGGCGAAGGTAGCACATTGGCATCACTTTCCACGTCACCGTCCGTCATTTCGTTGTCCACTGTCCCGGTCAGTTCACGCACATTCCCAGGAAGATAGTCCTTCCAGCTTCTGAACAGATATCTGGTGAACTTTCTGAGCTGCCTGAATTTGCAGTAGGTGGCGCCCTCCGCGGACTCGAGCTGCTGAGTCTGAATGAGAAAGCCCTTCTCCTTGAACGTCTGCTCGAGTTTCTCCCTCTGCAGGGACTTCCTCGTCTTCCTCTTGCGGCGACCATCCTCCTGGCTGCCCCTCTGGCAGGCGACTGGCTGTATCCTCTCGCCGGCCGCGTTCAGAAACGCCCCGGTCGAGGTGCCAGACTGTCCGGCCGACTGTTGCAGAGTTTCCCTCGGGAAGAACTCGTAGCCGCGCATACTCTTGTCCCCGGTGCCGCTGTAGTACCTGAAGTTACCGCCCGAGTCCACGGACAAGCTCTTCTTCTCCTGGAGGCTTGGCTTCGCGCCGCCCGTGAACTTGAACTTGCATATGCTCACCTCTGTCGCCGGGTTGTTGTTGTTCTCCGAGGGCATCGGCGGTATGAATATCGCCGAGCGTTTCCTCTTCGTTGGCTGGCCCTGCGTCTGGCTCACTGGCAAATTTCTCTTCGGTCTAGGCGAGACGGGGGGCGGTGGCACCGGGGCCGGCGCGGTCTGAGAGGAAGACTGAACGGTGGCAGGTACCAAAGGCGGGCTGCTCTTCGTCTCCATCATGGAGTATATGGACTTGGGCACGATCTTCTGTTCCTTCGAATGCTGGTCCGACGTTTTCCCGTAGCATTTGTCGTTCTGCGCCATCTTCTGATAGTAGAGCAGCTGAGACTGCAACGCCATCGGGTGGATGAACACGCCGGCATTGGGCCAGTAGACGAATCCAGGATTGGCGCCCAACATGGGATCAATTATACTATTGTTGTTGTGATTCGTGTTATTGCCACGGCCAATGTGATCCAGAGACCGATAACTCGGTTCCGAGGGAAACGTGCTGCCTATACACTCGACCTCTTCCCCGTCGCTAGACGTCTCGCTCTTAACCTGCCCGGACTCGTACACGTTGCCGTGTTTCCTCAACAGCCTGATCTTCAATTGATTCAGATCTCTGATGCAGAGGTTCAATGGCTCGTCCTGCTCCCTGCAGCCCTCCAACGTGCCGCCAAACGTTCGCCGAGACTCCTGGGTCAGCCTCTTCTCCAGCAGGCTGCTGATCCTGTTCTGAACGTCGGTCCTTTGAAACGGCATCTGCGGCGAGATCCTCTCGCGACAGTCTATCCTGTCCTTCGGCGACAGCCTCTTCTCCTCGTGGCCAGGAGTGCCTGGCAATATCGTGCCGTAGTTCTTGTAGATCAGGTGACAAATGTCTGCTTTCTTCGGTTTCCTGCCTCGTCGAGGCTTGCTATTGTCTAAAGTGATCTCGCCCATGTAAGGCAGATCTGAATACTTCATTGGAGGTCTGGTAGATATCTGGGACGATGGTTGTTGTTGTTGTTGTTGTTGTTGTTGTTGTTGTTGTTGATTGTGACTATGATTGTGGTGTTGACTGGCGTTGACAGTGTGCGACGAAGTGGAAGTGATCACAGACCTTCTGGAGCCCGATGGTTGTTGGCTAGAGTTTACGATTGGCGAACACTGAGAGGGCGAGATCTGCGGGCAGAGCTCCTGTTGCATGGCTGCAATCCGCTGAAGCCAGCCATGCACGTCCGCTATGGGGCTCGGGGTTGAAGTGGAGCTGGTCGGTGCTGGACTGGGGATCGTTGGCTCCGTCAAACGCGTGGGTGATGAATTGAGCGCCTCTTGGGCCAGCGACGCCTCGTAGTGGTCCAGGTACTCTGGAGGAAGCGCTTGGTGATGAAACTTGAGCTTCCATCGTGATTTTCTGCGACCTCGGCTGCAACAGACATTCAGGATTTGTTTTTGTAAAGAAGCCTTCTCTTTTGTATATAATTACTGCTTGTTATCATATATTTACGATATTATACATATTTATATGATATGTGTGTGTGTATATTATATTTATAATATTATATAATATGTATATCATATATGTGCACATTATATTATACAATATGTATGTTATTATATTATTGTAATATTATATATTATTATATAATATGTATATTAATATAAAAGTATGTTATATGTAATTAATATATGTATATAATACTATACTATATATATATAGTATAATATAGTATTATATATAATACTAATATAATACTATATTATAATAATGTTACATTATACTATAGTATATGTGTTATATAATGTAATATGTATACTATATTATTATAATTATATAACATAGTACGTATATTATATTTAGATAATATAAATATAAATATAATATACATTATATATATGAACTACATGTATACACATATACGATATCTAATTCACGGATACATATATACAAGAATAAGAAGGGAACAGTCGTACGAAAGTTTGAAGAACATCCTGTATCAGTCGCAGACTCAAAGAACAAATTCCAACGTTGAAAGATCAATTCATAATTAATTTCTCGTCAGGTATTCCACGCGGTATGCATAGAGAGAAGCATATGGAAATTGGATGGTTTACGACGATAATTACACATCCAACGACGCAGACCTTTCGTTAACGTTGTTTTCCACCTAAGCTGCATTCCGAACCACACCTCGCCACGGCGATTTATACAAGTTGCAGCGTGCCACCTTACGAGCGTATTATGCATAAAGAAAGAGAGAAAGGGAGAGAACATTACGCGCGACGCGTTTAATGAAATTCAATAACGGTAATCGACTCGCGGTATTTCAGTATCGGAACCGAGTCGGCTCTTTTTTTCTCCCCACCGTTCGGCGCGAGAGAGTGCACGAGACAACGCGAAACGAACCAGTTCTCCCCTCGGCGAAGAGTCCCTTTCGCGCCGGTTGTCTAAAAACGGCAGAAAGCAGCGCCAGTTTCACTCGGAAAGGGTCACCGGGGAAGTTTAGGTAGAAAAAGTGGCGATGATCCGACGTGGATTCATTGGGGATCAAAATAATGTTTTTGAAGTAATTTAAGTATCAACGGTGAATAATTGTATTGTACTATAATTGTGTATAGTATTATATTGTATATATTGTAACACATTATAACTGTATAGTATACATTAATAATTGTTACAGTAATAATTATATATTATTGCATTAAATAGTGATAATTATAATATAATTGTAATTGTAATATAATATAAAAGTAATAATATAGTAAAAAAGTAATAATATAGTAAAAAAAAAAAGTAGTATATAATTGTACACTATTGCGTAGTATATAATTGTGTATAACATAATACTATGTATGTAACATACTATAATTATATGCACTATATTGTATATAATACATTGTAGTGCAATTTTATGTAGTTCATAATTCTACTGTGTAATTGTTTAACATAATTATATACTATTGTAATTATATACTGTTATAATTGTATATTATAACTGTATAGTTACATTAATAACTGTTACAGTAGTAATTATATACTATTGTATTAAATAGTGATAATTATAATATACCTGTAATTGTAATATAATATAAAAGTAATAATATAGTAAAAAAGTAATAATATAGTAAAAAAAAAAAAGTAGTATATAATTGTACACTATTGCGTAGTATATAATTGTGTATAACATAATACTATGTATGTAACATACTATAATTATATGCACTACATTGTATATAATACATTGTAGTGCAATTTTATGTAGTTCATAATTCTACTATGTAATTGTTTAACATAATTGTATACTATTGTAATTATATACTGTTATAATTGTATATTATAACTGTATAGTTACATTAATAACTGTTACAGTAGTAATTATATACTATTGTATTAAATAGTGATAATTATAATATAACTGTAATTGTAATATAATATAAAAGTAATACTGTAAAGTAATAATATAGTAAAAAAAAAAGTAATAAAAGTAGTATACAATTGTACACTATTGCGTAGTATATAATTGTGTATAACATAATACTATATATGTAACATACTATAATTACATGCACTATATTGTACATAATATGTTGTAGTGTACTGTAATTATATGTTATTTATAATTTTACATACATTGTGTGTAAAATTCTCTACACACATTGTATAGTATAATTTTATGTTTATAATTGTATGTAACATGCTGCAATTGTATATAGATTTTGTTATATTATATTTGTTATTTGTATTGTAGTTGTATGTAGTAAGTAATTGTATAACTGCATAGAGTAAATAATTGTATATTACCATTATATGTATGTGCAATTGTATAATATAATTATATGTATATAATTACATATTACAATTGTATGTAATATATAAAATTTATGTATAATTATATTGTATATAATACAATATAATATACTATAGTATATTATAATTGTGGTGTATTGTAGTATATCGTATATATTATAGTCTATTATAATCGCGTATGTTATATATATTATAGTACATTATAATTATATGTAGAACATAATTACATATAACGCATTATTTGATTTTTTGGTCAAGATACGACTCGAATTTTTTTACCAAATTTTTATACTTATTTTTATAAAATGTATAATAGAATAGATATTAAAACTCGACTATTTCAATGTTTATAATACTTTTTATTTACTTTTAAATACTTTTTATCATCATATTATGTAATTACTATTATTGCTATATTATTATTTTATTTGTATATTATTACTATGTTGTTATATTATATAATTACTATATTTGTTATGATATTTATAATGAATAAGATAGCATATTCCATAGAATAATAATGATCGAAATTGACAATTTACCTTGGTCTTCCCCGGTTATTGAGATCCGTGACAGTTTGCCCCGAGCTCTCCTCCAGTTCCTGGATCTGATGATGGCTCGTTTCGTGTCCATGGCCGTGTTTTCCGTCGACGGACGTCGGCGAGACGTCTGCATCTACTTGCGGGCTATCAAATTTTCCATTAACTCTCCGTCGCGGCGAGCAAACAAAAACAGAACGAAGCTTTTTCGCTTTCTTTTTACGTTGCCCGATGAAAATAAAGGTGTGAAGTAAACAGACGGATGAGCATGAATCAAGCGAAAGTTGTCACTCAATATGTACGTATTGTACGTATTTTCGAAACGAAAAAGGAATTTCCGTAAACATCGGAATGCGTAATGTTAGACGTATATATTCATAAATCGCATCGACGAATTAAAATAATACTACATTTGTATTCGAAAAGGTTTCATTGTTTCGTGAATTTTTGACAGTACAAATAAAATATTGTTGATATTATTAAACAACTCAACAAATTCAACTTGCTATATGTTACATATTGTACATTATACATTTATTATGTCGTATTAATCGTATTAATATAAAAATTGTTATTTGTTTGTTTATTATCATTAATATATATTGGATTTATATCATTGTATTACATATATAAGGAATATTCATTTAAATCAGTAAAAACTAAGACTATATTAGTATATTTAAAACATCTATTTACATGTAAGAAATATTCATGAAAATGTGCATTTAAATTAGTAAAGACTAGTAGTATATTAGCATAAATAAGGAATATTCATTTAAAATATCTATTTATATGTATATAAGAAACGTTCATGAAATTATTCATTTAAAAACTAATGATAAATTAGCATATTTTATACGGATAGAGGAAGATTAAATATAATTTAAATACTGAGTAAGTCACATCAATCTTAAAATCAGGTCATTTTTTTAAAGAAAGACTTCTCCTATAAATTAATAAACAAATTGATTATAGTCTGTCAACCTCAGTTCTTGCGAAAGCAATTCTAAATATAATATAAATCTGACGGCACAGAATTCACAGAAATAACCAATATAGGAAACGAGTTATTTTAGATGAACAATAATTCTTGACTCTAATTCCACCCCGTGTAATGTGAAAGAGCACACGATACTTAAGTGACATTTAAAATCTTCTCTACGTCATTTGATACATAAATGATACAAAAATAATGTGATACAAATTTACATAAAAATCTAATAATAATAAAAATGAGGTAGTAAAATAAAAAAAAATAAAATAGTAAAATGGTAAAATAGTAAAATACTAAAATAGTAAAGTAGTAAAATAAACTAAAGAAAATTAATAAAAGTAATAAATAAAAAAGAAAACAATTTAGTTTCGTTCTGTTTTGTTACAGAATTGGCAACGATATATATCCTTAAGTTACACATATGCTCGGTTACTCATCTATAGAGTACGTGACCCGTGACCCAAGCTTTTCAAGATCTCTACGTATACAACACATTTCCCATCGTTCGAGCCACCCACTCGCCTTCGAGAAACTATCCCTCATAACCGCATAAATTGCTTTCACGCGTTCCACGCTGATCGTACGTTACTATATTATGCTTCTTTCGAAAAACGATCCGCGACTCGTAAACGCCAGCAGTACGTTTACCAACCCGAAAACATGCGCTATACGCTATTATACTATCTCGCATAATAATATCCCCTGGAACAGTGCATTATTTCATTTCGCCGGGCGAGATGTATGTTATTTGTCTCGTTACCGATGCGCAACACGCGATAATAATAATAATAACTGATGCGTCTCGCGCGTGATTTATACGCGATACGATAATCACAGACCGACCTGTCGACACGGACGTTTAACTCCTCGTTGATGGAATACTAATGTTTCGTTGGTTGTGTACCGCTTGGAGTGTGTAGGGGATTTCTTGGACATTTCCAATCGGTTTTTAAATTTTTTAACGATCCGAATGTTGAGGCTAAAATTCGTGGAAGTCTCGAGTCTTTGATTCTTTTCAGCGTTATCAAGAATTTAATGAAATTAACAAAAATCTAATGAAATAGCAGTCTAATACTAATCGAATGAGAAATGCAAAGTATTGAGCAAACAATTTGATTCTTTGAGATGAAATTGACTGAAATTGCCAAAAGTCTAATAATTTAATATCCAGTGAGGAGAGTAGCACAAATTAAGAACGAATTTGCTTCTTAAAAGTTTGCTTCTATGCAGGTACTGATCTGAGATATTTGCTTTGAATGTTTGTACAGTATATTTTGAATATTCGAATCACTTGGTGTTTTAATAAATCAAAGGTTGAAATTCTTGAAAGTCCAATAAATATCAAAAGTTTAATATTGAATGAAGACCATGTAACAAATTAAGAGTGCATTCATCTTATAAATCTTATAAATACATACATCTTGATGGTCTTCAAGTTCTAAATTCTAAAACATGGTACTTTTCATAATATTTAGTAAATTTTTATAATATTTATTAAATACTATATATTATATAGTATTTAATATTATATTATAAATTTAATATCATGTTAGTATTTAATATTAATAGTAGTTACAAATTTTTAATATTCTAATATTACATATATATTTCAGTACTGAGTTTTTAATATTCATATAAATATGATTAATATATTACATACTATTCTTATAAATATGATTAAAAAATGGAATTTGGATAGAAGATTGTTTTACTAAATATTATAAAAATTTATGTGTACCTATACTTGTATGTAATACTTGTATATAATACTAGAAACTTGCTTCTAACATTAAATTTATATTAATATTAAAGACTTGTATATAATATCTACTTGTATATGATACTAGAAACTTGTACTTCCAACATTAAACTTGTACTAGTAATGTTAAAAACTTGTACATAATATCTATACTTGTATGTAACATTAAAAATTTCTACACTGTAACACTTGTGCCTTATATTAAAAATTTCTATAAAACATGCAAAATTTTTGAAACAAATATGCTGAATATACGCAATACAATACTAAAACTTTGTATACATGATACAAAGAATTGTATATAATACTTGTATTTATACGTATAATTTTCATAGTTAATTTGTATAAACATAGAAAACGTATAAAATATAGTATTTGAAACACTCGAATAAGAATGTCAAATAAGAATTTATTATATGTAATACCTGTAGATAACTAAAGTTTTTTTATAAATGTATAAAATGTACAAAATTCATATATTCCCATGGTCCAATTGTTGTTTTCAATTCAATACTCAAACCTTCGAAATTTATCCAAAGGAGTTGTTTGAAACAAAATGAAATTATCGATGCGATTTATTCTGCAATAATTGCGAGATGAGTGCTCGACAAGGGAAAAAGTTGAACATAAGGTAGAGCTTCGATTATCATAACCGTGGGCTCACCTCAACGCATTCGTGTCACGACTTCGTTCCTCCTCGTCTTGCGGCTCCTGCTTCACCGCCATGTGGAGCAGAGGTGGCAACGGACACTTTATCTGCGACGAGTGATGCAGATGATGCTGCAAGGAACCTGCGGGGATGCTTGTGGGGCCGCTGTCTATACCAGTAGATTGTGCGCGAGGCACGATTTCCTCGGTCTGCATAGTGCCCCCTGGAAAAAATGCAGAATAATTCACTTAACAAAATTATACAATGGGTAATTAAAGCAATAGTAGAATTATTTAATACATTTGTTTAATGGTAGAGTCTATCAGCAGAGTTATTTGATTTAATAATAGAATTTAATAATGGTTTAATTGATAAACTATGGTCTGTGTAATTTAATGGTATTAAATAACAGTTCAATTAGCAAACTATAGAATATAGTAATCATATAATGCAGATATAGAATATATAATACAGTAATCAACAATATTAGAATTATTTGATAAATTTATTTAATTGTAGAGTCCATCAGCAGAATTGTTTGATTTAATAGTAGAATTGAATAATGGTTAACAAACAATGGTCTGTCAATAAAATCTCTCGGTAGAATTATTTAATTTAATAGTGGAATTAAATAACAGTTCAATTAGTAAACCATAGGATACAGTAATCAACAATACTAGAATTAGTTGATAAATTTATTTAATTGTCTATCAGTAGAATTGTCTGATTTAATACCAGAATTGAATAATAGTTTAATTAATGAACAATAGTTTGTCAGTAGAATCTCTCAGTAGAATTATTCAATTTAATAATGGAATTAAATTACAGTTCAATTAGTAAACTATATAATACACTAATCAACAATTATTCATTATAATTATAACTAGAATTATTTGATTTAATTAACTAGAACTGAGAATTAATTAATAAACAATGGTAAGAATATGACAGTAGAATTATTTAATTGACTAGAATCAAATAACAGTAATAATTGAATTTATTAAAATTAAATAATATCATAAATAATAATCAATTAGTAAACTATAGAATAGGATAATTAACAATATTAGAATTATTAGATTTAAATTTATTTAATTGTAGAGTATTAGTAGAATTGTTTGATTTAATACCAGAACATTTCTTCATTTTTACTGAACTACATTAGGCTGACCATACTGTACTATCTGACCGGTAGCGTATTTATGTTTACGTGTCAATTAGCCTACCTCTTCGAGTAGCCCATCCCCATCTAAAAGTATCCAAACACATACATACTTATGCGCACGGAAATATTCTGCGTAGGCATCTCTACTATATTGACTTTTGCCAGCACACGGGCACGACAAAACCTGGATATTGCAGAATATTCATAGCCTCCATAGATGTTAATGAAACATTGTCCAATTGACCATAAACGCAGCTGTCCTGCATTTCGATGCACCGACGGAGTAGAATGCCTTGCCAACGTGAGACAAACAATAGGACAGAGCACGGCGTGAGAGAAATGGAAGAAACTAAAGAAGAAATGCCCACATGTGAATTACTACTACTGGAGGAATCGTGTGGGGTGTTACAGCATCACTGGGCAGCGTGTGGGCACCAAGACACGTCCTAGACTTCGAAATTGTATATTATATAAAAGGAGAGCTCGTAGCTATAGTGAATGTAGAAACTATCCCTTCGGCGATGTCCTTTGTGAAGGTAAATGATACACTTTGGGAAAATCTGTTTCCATAAATCTTAATCACGTTGTTCCTGTTTTCAACGTATGTATGTATTATAGAATGCTAGTTCTACTACTGTATAATTATTTTACTATAGAACAGTGCATAACGTATATACTATAGTAATTATTGAAAAATTTTGTGATTTACTGTGTTTTCTATAGTATAGTTCTACTGTATATTTCTGTGTTGTACTATAGAACAGTATAGAACGTACATATTATAGTAATTATTGAAAATTTCGTATTTTACAGTGTTTTCTACTGTATAGTTCTGTTGTACTATAGAACAGTATAGAACGTATGTACTGTAGTAATTATTGAAAATTTCGTGTTTTATTGGGTTTTCAACGTATAATTCTATTGTATAGTTCTATCGTACTGCACAACAGTATAGAACGTATGTACTATAGTAATTATTGAAAATTTCGTGTTTTACAGTGTTTTCTACGTATAGTTCTGTTATACTATAGAACAGCATAGAACGTATGTACTATAGTAATTATTGACAATTTTGTGTTTTACTGTGTTTTCTACGTATAGCTCTACTGTATAGTTCTGTTGTACTGTAGAACAGGATAAAACGTATGTACTATAGTAGTTATTGAAAATTTTGTGTTTTACTATGATTTCTACATATAGTTCTATTGTATAGTTTTATTGTACTATAGAACAGTATAGAACGTATGTACTATAGTAATTATTGACAATTTTGTTTTTTTACTGTGTTTTCTACGTATAGTTCTACTGTATAGTTCTACTGTATAGTTCTGTTGTACTACACAACAGTAGAGAACGTATGTACTATAGTAATTATTGAAAACTTTGTGTTTTACACTGTTTTCTACGTATGGTTCTACTGTACAGTTCTGTTGTACTGTAGAACAGGATAAAACGTATGTACTATAGTAGTTATTGAAAATTTTGTGTTTTACTATGATTTCTACATATAGTTCTATTGTATAGTTTTATTGTACTATAGAACAGTATAGAACGTATGTACTATAATAATTATTGAAAATTTCGTGTTTTACAATGTTCTCTGCATATAGTTCTACTGTATAGTTCTGTTGTACTATAAAACAGTATAGAACGTATGTACTATAGTAATTATTATTGAAAATTTCGTGTTTTACAGTGTTCTCTGCATATAGTTCTACTGTATAGTTCTATGGTACTATAGAACAGTATATAACGTATATACTATAGTAATTATTGAAAATTTCATGTTTTACACTGTTTTCTACGAGGGCTCGTTAATTTCTAATTGATCAAATTTTCGATGAAGTGAAATTAAGAAAAAAACGTCGAGATAACGTATTTTTCGATGAGCTGCGACGAGAACAAACGCGACAGAGAACCGGAGAGAAAGAAGACACGCGTAAATCGTAGACGAGAGCGGAAACGGGGAGGCAGAAAAAAGAAAAGAAGAGAGAAAGAAGAGGAGAGTAGCACGTTGAATCGAAGGAGAAGCGTATTAGACATATTCCGACTTTGCAGCACTGTTGGATAAAAATATTCCTGGCTCGAAAATAGAAACGGACACGCGTGCGATTCACCGAACACCCGCGCGACTTTTGGCCCGTATTTGGCCTTAGTCGATCGGGTTTCACGACTTGTGTTTGCCTCTCTCTGTTCCTGCAGATGCGTTGTTTTATCGTTGTTTCAACATTGGAACTATCAAAATGGCCAAAAGGACCTGTTCATTGTCCCACAGGAATTTAGAGATTGGAGTGACTTTTTGTAAAATACTTAAATATTAAAACACTTAAATCACATTCTTTGTTGTATTTTAAATTTTCCTAGTAAATAATAAACTTTAATAAAATTATGAATAATAATGTAATACGTGTACAATTATGTACACATTATATAATAATATATATATTTATATTTATTAAAAAATATATATTTGCAATAAGCATATGTATAATAATATAATAAAATATATATTTGCAATAAGCATATGTTTAATAATATATTTGGAATATATATATTATATTGGAATATTTGGAATATATATATATATATTTATATTTGAAATATATATATTATATATATATTATATATATTATATTGGAATATATACATTATAATAAATTAATGTCGTTATAATGTTATTATAAATATATACAGCATAATATATCATGTAATATTATATATCATATTATGTCAAATGTATATTATACACTGTTATATTACAAATTTATATTATAAACTATATTATAAACTATTCCTGATTTTTATAATTACAGTTCACCTAAAGACTACTTCTTATAAATTTTAAACTTAATTTCAATATTTTTAGTCTGAATTTCGATTATTTTTCAAATATTATTTTTCAAATATCAATGTCTTTTTTGTTTTAAATTAAGATTCTGAGCTCTGCTGTCAATAAAGGGTAAACAGTGAGGATCTCAACTCTTGACAAGCAATTTGTCATTCCATTTGTCCAAAATGGACACGCAAATCAATACTGTTGACAGAAGTATCCTCTTTCCATTAAATCTCGCAAGAAATCGAAATTGTAGATTAGGTTAGGCTAGTGACAATTCTGGTAATTCTGAACATATAGGTTAGGCTAGTGATAATTCTGATAATTCTAGAACATATAGAAACTACCACCTGGCAGTTTTAACTCCTGATACCTAATCATTTGTAAAAATAACACGAGGCAATTCGAAAACACAGTTGAAATCGCACGCTCGACAATAATCGTCGATGTTTGGAATTGTAACTCGGTGAAAAGAGATCGTGCAACAGCCAACGGAGGCTCGTTTTGAAGCGTGAAATCTTTATTTTCACAGTGTACTGGTTCACTTCTTCCTGGAACGTTTTTACGCGTCGTGCAGCGAAGATACCATTTTTTTTTTTCCCCTCGGAAATGCAAACAGACGGTAAATTGTCACGGTGTGTAAAAATATTGAAAAAATTTTCCTCACGATTGAATCTGCTGTGGCCTCGAAGACTGAAGTCTCTCCTTTGCAACGAATCTCTAATCGATAAAATTTGATGTACTTTATTTTAACTAGATAAGTCCGATTGTGTAATGTTGTCGCACGATGGTTGTTTCAATTTGAATGAAGAGACAAATTCTAGTCCTAGCGCGAGATTTGAACTCAAATTTGAAAATTTCAATCCTCCAGACTAAAGGCTGATAAACAGAAATTATATGGAACATTTTAGTACTTTGCGTCAAATTACAATTAAATTTAATCTAATGCAATAAATTACAAATTAAATTATAACGCAATAAATTATAGTCAATGCTTATCTAAAAAAGTGAAAAGATAATCGTAAAACAAGGAATTAATAATATGTAATATCATTGTAGTGACATTTATGATAATATATAATATATATAATATGTATAATAATATGTAATACATATCACTGTACCACTAACAATCATAATAATTTAAGGCTAAATTACACGTTTCTGGAACTTTTTATGTAACTGAATTTTATTACTAACAAATATTTATATTATTACATTTATT